ACATGTTTTTAGTTTTGATTCTCTTTTTGTTTCCTTTGAAAAATCAGTATTCTTTATGGTGTGTCCAAGGAAGCTTCCCAAATCAAACAAATGTCGACAGACTTACGCAGCAGTATGTGAAACAGAGTTGTGGTTTAACAACACCTTGTAAACCCCTTCCCTACAGCAGAGCAGTGATGTTATGGCTCGGTGAAGCGATGTTAAACCCTGCTGTAGCCCTGCAGATACATTTTTAGAGTTATGATCTGGGAATTTTTTTTGTCCTTGAGGATTCTGACCAATGTTGAACTTACAAGAAAATGGATGTTGGTGGGATCATTTATCCTTCCGCATTTCACAGAAGATGCGCAGTGCCTGGTTTCAGACTGATTCAGTTGGATAACAGCCTAAGTCTTCTCTCATTAATTGACTGCCTGAGTTTGGGTTTTAAAATGCTGTTGTATATGTGCAAAAATCTCAGCATTGACTTTTCAAACAAAAGGAAAGGCAAGATTCCCTCTGCGGGGCCTGATCTGCAGGTCTGTTTGAACAGCATCCTTTCTTTGGATGGCAGCTGGTACCTGTTGCCTCAGAATAATGTAAGGGACTTTCTGTTATTCTATGGCATAGTAAGGTAGATGTGGATGGAGACTTCCTTCCGGCTTGTTGTTGAAAATTCAAAGATTTCTATTTCAGGAGAAAAAAAAAAAATCTCACTTCTGACTTTTGGGGTGTTTTTTCTGGTTTTGGTTTGGGGGTTTTTTTTGTTGGTATCAATCAGAACTTCTCAGGGGCTTTCCCCATTTTAGGGATACTTCTTGAAAACATGTGCCATGCTTTTTGCTTTTGATCATGCCACCTCTTATTCCAGTCATGGCAGGGTAATGGATTGCCGAGTTCCCCATCTCTCAGCTGTCATGCTTTCAACCCTTGTCTGCTTTTTGCTTCAGTTCAGGCTTTTGTGCTTAACTGGGCAGCAATGTATGGAGTGAGTATGTAGCCTGTGATTATATAGACTCTAGTAGCTATTTTTAATAAGATTTTCTTGCTGTTGGGGTGTTTGCTGGTTCACGGATTACTCAATCCAAGTTTCCAGTATTTATCTTTGTACTCACTTGCAAATGCTGAAAGCTATTTTTATTGGTGACTGACAGCAGTTAGAGTATCCCGTGTCGTTGGAAGATTGGCAGGGTGTTTCATCTGTGGACTGAGCAAATTGCAGTTCTGTCTCCGTTTGTTACGGTTGGGTTGTGACAGCCAGAGCTTTGTACCTGGAGCAGGAAGGTCCCCACAGCGCATTAGCAGTCTTTTTCTCCTCTTCTGTTGCGTTCAAGAGTATCTTTGTGGAAACCTATTCCCTGTCCCGTTCTTTTTCCATGTGTTTTTTTTGTCTTGCAGGAAGGTTGCTTTGTAAGGAAATGAGTAGTGTTCCTGTGGGCAGCCTGATGTCTAATCAACTTTCAAAAAAAACCAAAACCCAAACCCCACATGGTTCTTGCCAACGATGCTACTGACTGATGAACCTGAACTAAGGGAAAAATTGTCAGCTTTTCTAGCTGTCCTCTTGCCTCTGGGGTATTGCTTCCAGAACTCTGCTTGGTGTGAACTTTAACTCCTCCTTCATGTAATTCATGAACTTTAATACTTCATTTAACGACTCCCTTGGGAAAGCTTTACTCGTATTTCTTGCTGCTAGGCAGTCTTTTCCTGATAGCCTTGCCAACGTTTTGCTTTAGCACTGGTTCTGTTAGTCCTGGCTCCAGCCTTGATGTATTACTGTTTTCTTAATGTTTGTGCCTTTCATTTGTTAAAAGATCCTGGAGGTTTTTGATGGATGAAGCTGTAGATCGTGACAATGCCAGGGGTTCCTTCTTGTTTGACTGCTGGGAGGTTAAGTAGGAAAGAAGTTTTGTCAAAATTGGGATATTCTAGGTGTTATTTTCCCTCAGGTAGGAAAAACTTCCTGGGGAATGTGGTTTTTTTCAGCCATGGCACATCAATAAATAGGCTAAAAATTGAGGCTAAAAATGCTTAATTAAGGTTAGTTTAGGGAATACTTCTTTGCATGGACTTTAAGTCTCTTTTCTTCTATTTTACTCACCCCTGCAATATTAGTTTGAAGAGCGTTTGATGTAAGAAAATGGGAGACACAGGGAGATACTGGGCACCTTGATGTCCTGGAGAGAGCACTTCAAAGAGGAGGAGAGGTGGCAGTAGCATGTCCTGTCGGTCATATTTGGATGGCTGTGGATGAGTTTGGTAGGCACGTTTCTAAGAAATCCTTTGAAACGCTTGAACTGTGATTTGTCAAAGGGGAAGCAACCCCTCTGCCTTGGCGGGGAATACTGAGGTCCTTGCTTGTGTCTGTACCCTGTGTCAGATACCCTCTGCTCTTGACCCATCAAAAATGGGCTTCTGCCTGCCCATAAAGTATGTACTGCCTGTATGGCAGGAAAAGGGAAGAGATTTTCTTTTTTTGCCCTCACCTGTAGAGGAGGTGATCATAAGTCCTTACACCTGAGGTTCAATTGCTTTTATTTAGGTCTGCTTCAATGACAGTAGCAATAAAACCCAACCCCGCAGCAGGAGCTGTGCTGAGCCTTGAGGCACCAAGGAATTGGGGGGTATCCCTAGGTTTTCTCCTCTGTGGGGTTCTCTTGTTTGTGAACACTGACTCTTCAGTTTTTTGGCAGTGGAGTATTTCCAGGGCCTGAAAAACTGGCGCTTGTCACTACTTGCTTGATTTGTTATGGAAAGACAGCGATTTGCCTTGGATTTACTACAGGGCTTTCTGCTAAATCACCAGAACTTGAGAAGTTTGCTCTGTGCAAAGTTAACTTTGTTCTCTTCATTCAAACCCTAAATAGTAGATATGAAAGATTTATTAAGCAAATAAGTAAAACTCCCAGAGCTGTGAATTGCATTTCCCACAGGAAATATCTGAAGCCAATCACCTACCAAACAGAACAAGTCAGGTATTGCAGTTCAGAGGAAAAAAAATTATTATTTTGTTTACAGGCTTTCACATCAGGATGGGGGGAGGAGGGAAATATTATCATCTCCGTGAGGGGGAAAAAGGATTATTGAAATGTGTTTCTGCCCTGCCAGTAAAGCAATTTTACTTGTTGTTCTTATGTTTAGGTGCTTTTCTCAGGTGTTGCAGTAACAGGCACAAGAGGCAGGTAGAAGTGCAAACCTTTTAAATTCAGAAAGACACTTTCTGCATCAGAGGGCTGTCTTGGATGGGATGTCTCATTTATACTTAAGTCAATCACTATATTTTTAATATTATGATGTGGTCCATCATGCATATTTAGTTCTCGTGGGAGAAATAAGCTAGCGTGAAATTGTAGAGCAGACAGGCTAGGATGTGTCCACTTTTAAATCTTGCACAGCATTTTGCTTTGAGTAGCTAACAAATCTGTGCTAAGATAGTGCCTTTCCTTTTTAAGTGGATGGCTGGACCTAGTTCTGGGTTAAATGATAGCCTGTGGGAGGAGAAGGTCTTTATTTAAGACTTAATCTTCGTCTTTTAACTATTATCTCCTTCCTTATGCATGAAGCTTTTCCGGTAATATTAGTATTTTACTGTTCATAGAATCATTATGGTTGGAAGAGACCTCAAAGATCATCAAGTCCAACCGTATACCCGATGCCACCATGCCCACTAAACCATGTCTTGAAGTGCCACATCTAAATGTTTTTTGAACGCTTCCAGGGATGGTGAGTCCACCACCTCCCTGGGGAAAAAGATGTTGAAGCATCTTACTGATAAATGAAGGTCAAGTCTCGAGAAATGAGATTTTAAACCCAACAAATGACAAGTGCTTAATAGAGCTAGCCTTTCAGGGAAGTTTTGATGCGTTATAGAAACAAATGAAATCCTGCCTAAGAATTCAGCAAACTGAGTGAAAGGAAGTAGAAGATGGAAACAGCTTTCTCCTTCAGTAAGGACCATGTTGTGGTGTTGGTCATTAGAAAATACCTTCCTGCATAACCTCCCTGAAACTTTGAGCAAAGTTTCATTCAAAATGAGTAGGAAAGGTAATAACCTCTGTCCCTAAATGTTTTATTTTGCTATTCCCTTCTCAAGTGGTTATTAGGAATGCTGTTTTGTCCTTGAACCTCTGAGTCTGGATGGGCTGTGGTTGTCTTTTTGTGGTTTGTTTTTGTGGGTTTTTTGGTGGGTTGTTTTTTTGCTTGTTTGTGAGACAGCTTTATTTTCTGAAATTTTTCTCAGGTACAAAAGAAATCTGTCTGTGTGTCTGGGGACAATTAGATTACTTTCCCTGTTTGTGAAGAACACAATTTGGCAAGTCAAGAGCACTGGTTTCCTTAGTGATGCTAACAGTTGGTGGGTAGACTCCAAACTGGAAGCGTTTGTGTGAACTTCTTAATGTCTTTGGCACAAAGAGGCTTGGATGTGAAATAGGCTTAGTTTTGTGAAAACAAAATGTCCCCTGTTGGTTTCTGTTTGTTGTTTATCCATAACTGCTTTAAGACTTAAAAAAAGCCATAAAGGACTGACAGATTGCAAGTTGCATGAAATATCAAAGTAAATATTTACACTTTCAAGCTGCTTTGTGCAGATGTGAAACAATAAATACCCATAAAGTCTCAGAAGTGACACTTACACAGTGGAGGATTCACAGTTTCTTATGTGCTAAAGTTTGCTTCTCCTGCTTGTAACTTTATGCTTGGGTTTAAATCTTGGAGTCCCTTTTGCTCTCAGGTGAGATTCAAACTTCTTGTTTCTTAACATGTCCTGGAGAATTTTATTACTGTGTTAGAAGAAATCTAATGTGTTGCAGGTTTTTTTTTTTAAATTTGCTGTCCTAAATTACTGAAGGGTTGGAGTCTGATGGGAAGAGGGATAAAATGCAGGATTACATGAATGCAAGAATTCACATGTGGGCACTTGCATCAGTTTTAAGTTTAGCAGGTCTGTGGCTGAACTGTGCCACAGTATTTAAAATGTGATGCTTGAATTTAAATGGTTGTAATTCACTGTCTTTAAACAGGGAGAACATGAGCTCAAGGAAGGAGATGTTGGAACGAGCTTGACTCGAGAGAACGCTGGGAGGAAGGAGGAGGGTGAAAAGAGAGAGATGATAACCCCTGCTCTGAGGGAAGCGCTCACAAAACAAGGTGAGGTTCTGCAAAGACCAGGTGGTGGCCCAGGCTTGGAAGTCTTAGTGGTAGACTTCTAACAGAGCAAGTGAAAGGTGGTGTTCTTTATGTTAAAGATACTGGTCTGGACCCTCAGTCAATGGTAGGCTCCAACCACAGGCAGGACAGAGATTAGGCAGAGGCTGTTTGTACTGGATTGTTGCAGGGGAAGAATCTAGAGCTGGGTAACGCGTCTCCGAGTGATGCACACCATAACATCTGGAGAGTGTATCGGAGTTCACTGGGTTTAATGTGTCTGCTAAGGTAGCTTAAGAGAGAAGATGATAGTCCCACATGCCCGTAGCTCCTGGAGTGCAGATTTCTCAAAGAATATTTAAAGATCAGATTTGCATCTCTGTTTTGCATCTTAGTCCTCTGCTTTTATTTAAATTTCAAACTCTGATTTTGTTACTTAAACTTTACTTCCAGAAAAGGAAGTAGTTCCAACTAACTTTAACAATCCAGTAGATGATTAGATCAGCAGCTCTCCTGTGAGCTGTAGACAACAGTTTTAATGAACTTAACGCCTTTTTTTAAAATGAAGAACAAGCGTGAGAAAGCTGGACTGACAGCTCTGCAATTCAGAAGCCTCAGTGCCAAGTGGCAGAGCCAGGAGAAGGGTGATGTGAGCTTCCCTGTGCTGAGACTAAAGGGAGTTTAGTCTAATTTCTTTTATCTCTTAAGATGAGAGTGTGCTTAGTTTTCTTGCTTACTAAATTGATAGTGTCTCTCCTGATGCTTCTGAGAATGCACTTCTGGTTATTGCAGTGGAAGCACCTTGCTACAGAGCTGGGCTCTGAAGTTCTAACTACATGCTGTGTGAGTCGAGCAGCTGTGGGGTCCCAACAGCTTTGCTCCCCAGGATCTCAGCCATTCTTTGGCCTGAGCTTTTGTAGGTGACTGGTGGTGTGTTCTGCCTGTCGAGTATCTGACGTGTTTGGTCATTGGGTTTTTTCATTAACCTTTGCACAGCTGTAAAATAAAGAGCCATTCTTTAAATTCATAGTCTGAAGAAATATAGCAAAGGCTTAGCAAGGAGTGATGGTGACTTTGCCTCCTCTTCATGTCCATAGTGGTGCTGCTGCTGACTGGGACCAGGGGAGGGGTTGTAGGAGGCTGGTTCAATAAGTCTTTACAGCTTCGGTTCTGAAGGCTGTAATGTGGTGCAGAGCTCCAGCAGAGCAGCTGGAGCTTTGTTACAGCCTTTTATTTTTATTTATTGATTTATTTAGTTCCTACTGTCTGTGTTTGATCCAGAAGTCTAATTGTTCTGTCTACCCGCAAGGAAGTTTAGGCGAGAGGTGGATTTGGCTAGCAGACCTGGAGGAGCAGGCTGCAGGAGATGTGGCTGTCTAGAAATGGGCAGTAGGGAGGAAAGCATGCTTGTCTGCTGCGAGTCCCCTGTTTTGAGAAGTTGGAGGGGCTTCTGACTTCATGGAAGGGTGCACCAAGTGCCCCAGACATCTTGGTTTTTGCTTTGGGACACAGGAACCGTAGATGGGCTGTGGAGACTGCCTGTGGTACTGACTTCTGAGAGAGGAGTAGTGAGTGGTTTTCAGCGTACTCCCCTGGCTTTTTTTGTGGTGCAGGGCTCTGTGCTGGCTCTGTGTTGTGCCATGGGGGTTGTAGGAGTGTTTCATGCTGGCTCACTTTCTGACACAGTCTGTGTTGGTTTGATTTAGGGGGGTGAATGAAACTGTGCTTTTCTAATGGTATGTAAAAAGTGGTCACCTGGAAAATGAGAACAGTGGTGGAGGGAAGATCACCTTCCTACCGTAATTTTTTTGACACAAAGGCAAGCTGTCCAGAGAACTCGGATTTCCTTGGGATGTTCCAGGGACAGGAGTTCATTATCCAGAGAAGTAAGTGTGTATTTCTCCCGTCCTTCAACATTCAAGGTAGTGCCAACATGGGATCAACTAGTAGGATGTACCAATGTAAATCTGCCATTTCAAAGACTTAAAACCATTGTGTTTGTATCCTGACAGTTACAACTGCCTCTTGCTGGCACAACCCTCCCCTCCTTTCCTCTGCTGCTCACCTAGGTCTTTAATGATCACTCAACAGTGAAGAAGGGAAGCTGCCTTTCTTTTTTCACATGTCATACAACTTTTTTTTTCTGCAAATAACATACCGAGACAGGCTTATGTGGCTCTAAAAATAAAACAACTCCTTCCTTCAGCACTGCTCCCCCCCAAAATAACAAGTGCAATGTAGTCAAAAGATAGTCTAATTTATTTAGCAACGACTGGTTGCTTTGGGTGTAGGTTCAGTGTCTTTTCAAGATTGTCCCTGAGGGCATAATTAGCCCAAGAGAAAATAAAATCAGTAGTAGTGATTCATGAGAAAGCTGCTCTTTTAAATTGTAGTTGCATAACAGAAGTTTGCCTTTGAACAGCATCTCTTCAGACTGTTGTAGTGCTCACCCTTTTTATTTTGACTCACCTTCAGACAAATGTACCTTCCTGTAGGTAAACTGAATATTGCTTAAACAATGGTATTATTTTAGCACTGGCATTGAATTTCAGCTAAATGTAGCTTCACCTATTGGGTTGTATAAGTGTTAGCCCTTGTAGTTGCCTGGTTGCAAATACCTTTATAAAAGATGCTCTGTAATAGTTGCTTTTTAAAGTCATAGCCCATTGTGAGAAAATGCTGATTCCCTTTCCATCAGCATTCAGTCTTGCATAAAATACAAATAGAGCACAAACTATTTAGTGCCTCCAAGTAACAAGTATGGTGGGGGAGAGAGAGGCTGACAGTTGAAGTATTTGGCTTTGCGTTATATTTGCAGTGGTACCATGTTGCTGTGGAAATTACTAAATCATTACATCTGTTTAGGTAGATGCCATGAAATAAACTGAAAATGGAAGCAAACTTTTCATATTAATGTTTCCTGTGGTGATTAGTAGATACAACTTAACATGTTTGCATATGCTTTCTGCAGTTGCTTGTAGATTCTTGAAACAATCCCTGCTGGGCTGAAAGTGTGGGGTTTCTTGTGTTGTGTTTTTTTTTGTTGTTGTTGGTTTTGGGTTTTTTTTGCTTGGCCTGGGACGAAGAGGATTTTGTACCTGGTGAAGTTTACCTTTCCAGAGCTCCTGATTTTTCAGGAAGTGCATTTAAGTCCTTCTTTAGCTTTGGAGGGAGTCTCAGGCTGCTGTTTTAATAGGAAAGGTGACTGTAGGAAGCCCAGCTTCCATGAATCAATGGAGGTTCCTGTAGTGTCTGCTGTATCAGCTGTGCTTATTTTACGAGTACAAAATATTAACTCTGTTGTACATTTTCCTGCTGCTGTAAAGTCAGTGCAGCAATAGTGCAAAGACCTGTGCTCTGTTCAGGTTGTTAACCGTTGTTAGTCTTAACTGCTCTTTGATTTGCCAAGTGTTTTATTGATCGTGATAGTCAGACTGAAAGCTAAACAAATTGTCATGCCGAATACGAAAGCAAAGACTGGCAGTTGGGGGAATCATGGCTTTAGTGCAGCTCGCTTCTTGAAATAGTTGGAGGTCAAATGTGATATCGCACAGTGACAGCCAGTTTCATCATCCCTGTCAAGTTACGGTTGTATTTAGCAGTGCTTCGGCTCATCTTTGTGCTGCTTTTAAAAGTTTGCTTAAGAGATTCCAAGGACCTGGATTTTTTAAGCTGCTCATACCATGTGTTTCTGACATGCTTTTTGCTTTGTTCTTTTCTACTGTAGCACTACTAAATAAAACTGTGCTTTTTGTGGTAGGCAACACAATGGGAATGGATTAATGATACCCAAAGACTGACCCCGCTGACGTATAAATTATTCTGTTGTGTCTCTGCTACCACAGGTACGGTTTTGCTGCAGTCCAATTGGATTGTTCTGTCGTTCTGGTTAAGTGAGCTGACAATTTAGCACCAGGGTGTCCAGGGTACCTCTGTTTCACTTGTCTTCAAAGGCAAGTGGTTTTAGGAGACAACTTATGTCTGAAATCGTATGAGCTGCTTCAGTAACCGCTCATTTTCATACCTTGACTTCATGGTTGATTTAAAGATATACTTTGTTCTATGTTTTTCAGTGCTTATGGGCAATCAAAAGGCTAAATTCAGAAAAATATTGAAGACTGGGCTTTTCAAGTGGTTACCAACCTTGTTTGAGGTTTTTAAAAGTACTTGGTGGCTTTTGCTGTCTGTTCTTGGACTGAGGTTTCCAGTGCCTGCAGCTCTGAGCTCTTCTGACCATCTCGACTTGACTCGCTGTGCTGAGCTTTTTGGGTGTCCAGGCTTTGGAAAGGAGATTCACTGTGCAAAGACACTGCACAGAGAGTGGTGCTGCTGGATGTATACTTTTACAGGCCGTGTGCTAAAATGTTTGCGTGCATCTTTGGGATTTGGCGTGTTTTATGTATAGCTATTAAACTCCAGGTGGCACTAGCAGCTCACAGCTGTGCTGGGGATTGGTATCACTGGTGCAGTCCCTGAAATGTACCACAAAATTCAAATACTGACCATGGGAAGATTAAAAATGAGTTTGCAACACAGCAAATTATTCTTAGTAAGCAGAATAAATACAGAATAAATGACAGAAACAGGGAAGGTTAGGCCTACTAAACTTTCTTGTGGTTCCTTAGAAAATGTCTGTGTAAATAAACAGCGAATACACAGTTAAAGGGGAATAATCCAGGAAACCGAAGATGCTGAAGTCCCACAGTGTGGAAACTGCCAAGAGCTGGTGATGAGCTGACTGCAATACTAATTTGCTGGCACAGATGTAGCAGCTTATCAGGAGCAGAGTAGATAGTGAAAGCTTGGTTTCGTGGGCCTGATTCTTCTCTTGTATAGTTACTGGAGCTGGTAGAATTACCCCATGTATAATAGACTAAAGTAAGCATAAACGCATTTATATTTGAAATGCATCTATTTTCTTTTTCGTTTTTGGTTTCGGAAGGACTTTGGAGGGTATTGGTCTTTGAAATTAAGTCTAAACTGGAACAAAATACAAAATCTAT